TGGGCAGTGTCTTACTTAGGGTCCTAAGATTGCTTTCCACATATGTCCAGATTTGCCTGGACGCTGCCTTTAATGAATAGTACCTCTGAGCACCATCCACGCTAGTTGCTTGCATTCTTCGTGGTGCTGGCGATGTCATGGGAGATTTAGCAGAGTTCGAAGCAGACGGTGAAATGTCATGGAATCGTGGCATAAACCCGGTGCGAGGTGGAGGATTGGAGCTAGGACTGGGTCGTGCAGGCGCTGCAACACCGAAGTCTCGAACAGTCTGATTATAATATCACAAATCATACCTCCATCACTAACTCGTCTTGTATTGATGCTTAGCGGTGAGATTACCGGTGGTCGGGGATGCTCTAAGATACAAGTAAACAACCATTTTCTAATATAATAAGCTAACATCTAATAAGGTCCAGTTTACCTGGTTTCTTTTCCTTTTCTGCACTATTTCCATTGCCACTTGCATCATCATCGTGATGTTTAGGCTCAAGTTTATAGATTTTCTTGTCTTTCGGAGGTGTGATATTCTGAAAACGTATCTCTTGCAGTATTGATATATGCTTCTTACATGTGACAAACACCAAACTATCTAGAACTAGGTAATCCTACCAGTTTCGATTTTCTGTAGGCACTTTGCAGCTGACCTGTTCCTAACTTCATTATTTCCGCCATCGGATCGTAGTTGTAAGCATTTGGCACCACAGGCCCCTCCTAAAACAGCGGAAATCTCGAATAACATTCATTTTAATCACCCCGGACTGATAAAGAACCCTTAATATGAGTCGCAATTACATAACAGAATATAGATGCCAATAAATTGAAAAGGATACGCATAAAAATTGAAAAGCACACGCATAACACGGGAGCATTTGAAAAATAGAAGGGTTGAAAGGTAAAGCACCGAAACCGTAACAATACCTGAATGGCAGCCATTGGTAAACCACCCACAAACATCGGCTTGTCCTTTTTTGGATCATGCTTCTTTTTCGTGCTTTTTGGTGTTCCTATAACATATCAGCCAAGATGCAGCAACCACATTACTTGATCTGCTCCCCACCTCCTAAAGCATCCTCAAACGATAAGGATGCCTTTCGTTTAGGAGTCTTCTTTTCCTTTGGTTCCTTCGGTTTTTTCTCTGGTTTTTCTTTTTTCTT